CAGGTTCAATGTTGCGAAAATGACGGTTGTGTGTGCACCCTATGACAGCTCCTCACTCACTGTGAACTGACCCTCTGACAGAGCGGCACTCCCTCGGTACTGACCCTGTAACATGCAGCACTCCCTCGGTACTGAGCCTCAGCGCTGACCCTCCGACAGTGTGGCACTCCCTCAGCACCGAACCTCCGACAGTGCGGCACTCCCTCAATACTAACCCTCTGACACTGCGGCGTTCCTTCTGAATTAACTGCCTGACAGCGTAGCTGTCCCTCAGTCCTGACCCTCCTTGATTGATCTTTGGCTCTCAGCCAATCAGCTGGGTCTCGCTCTGCTCTTCTGTGCGCCTGAAGCCTGGGAGAGGCAGTGCTGAGAGTCTGAGTTCAGTCTCTGTATCCAATAAAACCTTTAGAGCAGGAGACTATTTTACGTGAGGCCGCAAAACAGCAGAAGGCATAGTGGAAGAGGGCACTGCAGCAAGGGCAAACTATAGCTGGACACTGATTGCATACTTTGTAGGAATACATTCCTGTGGGATAGATTTCTCCCTGTGGATCTGTACTTCCTGTCTTTCTCTTACCCGATGGCCCTTCATTAACCAGTCAGAAACCTTCACTGCAAGTAGTCCAAACATCCTTAAATGGAGAAGACTGTGGATCAAAGACAATTGTCAGAGTCAGCAGGAAACATGCCAAAGGATCCCTCTCTCCTGCAGTAAACAGCAGAATCCCGTAAAGACTTCACCCTTTCCGATCTCCCTCAGATTAGAAATGGACATTTCAAATTCTTGTTCGTATCACCCCTCCCCCTGTGTACAGGAATGAATGACTGCAATTCATCTCTCCTCAGGGAGCACTCGCCATGCACACCATAGGGCAAAGCCAGCTAAACATAATTCAGTACAGCCCTGAAGATGAGAAAGGGTGCCCTGGAAACACAGACAGCGAAAACCCCCAAAAGTGTCAGCAAGAATGAGCAGTTAGATTTTGGAAAAAAACACAATTAAAGATTCTCTCGGTTATCTTTGAGAAGCTGTCATAACACACGTATTAGCATGTCAAATGTCACTCCCTGCTGGTTGGTCAATGGGTGACAGGACATCAGAGATGGAATTTTTTTTTGAGGGAATTATGAGCACATCTGGCAAAGCTGACATTTATCACCCACCCATCATAATCTGAGAGCTAGGGAAGCCATATCAATGAAGCAGTAGCTTTATACTACACAGTGGCCCATTCAGAGAGTGGCTGAGAGGTCACTAGGCTAGTGAGGGAGTCAGGCTACAGTTGCACCCATTAGCCTTCATAAGGCAGCTTGTCCCCCATCAAACACTCCCAGGACAGGGATAGCACAAGGTTAAATACAGAGCAAAGCTCCCTCTACACCAGTCCCATCAAACCCTCCCAGGAAAGGGACAACACATGGTTAAATACAGAGTTAAGCTATATCTACTCTTTTCAACTCCAACTATAGTTCCCTCTATGCTTTTAAACTGATAGTAAAGCTCACTCTACACTGTCCCTGTCAAACTTACCCCAAACAGGGACATCACAGGGTTAGATACAGAGTAAAACTTCTTCTAGAATTTCTTTTAAATCAATGAGTTCAGTCTCTGTATCCAATAAAACCTTTAGAACAGGAGACTATTTTATGTGAGGCCGCAAAACAGCAGAAGGCATTGTGGAAGAGGGCACTGCAGCAAGGGCAAGCTATAGCTGGACACTGATTGTATACTTTGTAGGAATACATTCCTGTGGGACAGATTTCTCCCTGTGGATCTGTACTTCCTGTGTTTCTCTTACCTGATGGCCCTTTATTAACCAGTCAGAATATCAATGAAGCAGTAGCTTTATATTACACAGTGGCCAATTCAGAGAGTGGCTGACAGGTCACTAGGCTAGTGAGGGAGTCAGGCTACAGTTGCACCCATTAGCCTTCATAAGGCAGCTTGTCCCCCATCAAACACTCCCAGGACAGGGATAGCACAAGGGATAATATCACACTTCTAGAGCAGGTGGGACTCAAACATAGGCCTCCTGGCTCAGAGGTAGGGACACTACCACTGCACAACCAGACCCTTTTATTGTCCCTGTCAAGCATTCTGGGTATAGCATGGGGTTAGATACAGAGTAAAATTTTCCTCTACTCTTTTAAACATGAAGTAAATGTCCCTTGACACTGTCCCCATCAAACAGTACAAAAACAGGGACACCATGGGGTCAGGTATAGAGTAAAGGTCCCTCCATTCGTTCGACCCCATCAAATACTCCCAGGACAGGGGCGGCATTGGGGTTGGATAAGCATCTTTTGCTGAGACAGCTAATAACTTGACAACGTTGCCATTTTCATCCGGTTTCCTCACAATCTTAAATACAGCTAATAGTCACCAATCCCACACAGACCCATCTGTACATCATCGCAGGAAGCCATCACCAGAAATGTGTGCAGAATTGTTGCAGCTCTGGGCAACACTCCAAGCTCAATATTAAACAGAATGACGGAATGGTTGAAATATGCGGAAGTGGGAGTTTCATAAATCAGAATAACGCTGCTACCTTCTTCCTTAGGGGCACGTTTTTAAACTTACTGCTGCCATGCAGACAATTCCAGGGGAGTTAGTGAGCAATGCAGTCTGAAAATAAAGCTGACACTGGATTTCCTTTAAAAGCTTTTGTTATGAATGCCAAACCAAACTGCTAAAGATGCTGATCACACTGTTTTGTACATCTTTTTTCTTTTCCCTGCAGGCGTGGATTCTGATTTAGTAGGTATCAACCATGATTCAATAATGACTCACCGAGTCCACGGCTTCTACACCCAACTTAAAACCTATATTCCATTTTCAAGGTTACCATTTTCAGAACATTATGAAGGAAATGCTGCATAGACAGTCAGTACTGAGGGAGTGCCACACAATCACAGGGTCAGTCCTGAGGGAGCGGGCACTGTCACAGGGTCCGCACTGTCGGAAGGTCAGTATTGAGGGCGTGCCACACCATCGGACAGTAGGTACTAAAGGGGAGAGCTGCTGGCAGGTTGCATGGGCTGGATATCGTTGGAGTTTGCAACAGAGCAAAAGCCAGAAGTGATCCATAGAGGGATCAAGTCCAGGTAAAGATTTCAGCAATAGAAACAGAAAATGTTTGAGAAACTCAGCAGCATCTTTAAAAGAGTCTGACAAGCTTTGACTTTGGACCCACTTTCTCTTTCCACAGATGCTGCAGCGCTGCTGAGTTTCTCCCAGATTTTCTGTTTTTGTTTCAGATTTCCAACATCGTAGTACGTTGTTTTATTTCAGGATTTCAGCAAGATAGCTTCAATAGGATGTCCATGAGAAATTATCCAGTTTCCTTCAGTTCTATTCCCTTCCCTGGGTTTTCATTGAGATGACAGAGCTTGTCCCTGGGCTGCAAAAATGTCACATGAACAGAAATGGGCAATCTGAGCCCAATTACTCATTTCAAAATGTGTTGGAGCACAAGTCTCCAATAGACACCCCGATCAGTGACTACTAGTTATCGCAGGATGCTTAAGGTACTTTCTGAGTCACTTGGGTCATATGATTTGCTGTCACATTCCACCTATTCAATCTCCATTAAATTCTCCACAAGTTTTATATGAGAAAGCACAACATGCACATGTCAAGCATTTAACAGCATGCTATCAACAACAGACTTGATTCTGATTGTACTGTCACAGCATTTAAATACCCACCAACTCAAAACCCACAAGTCTCCATTCTTCAGCACAACATGCAAACTTTCAAAATGATGTCACAGTGTCCATTTAAGGATTTATGGGAATGAATGGTCAAAAATGTACAAGATGACGAGAGACATAGATGGAGTTGATAGTCAGAGACTTTTTCCCAGGGCAGAAATGACTATTATGAGGGGGCATAATTTTAAGGTGATTGGAGGAAGGTATAGGGGAGATGTCACAGGTAGGTTCTTCACACAGAGAGTGGTGGGTGTGTGGAATGCGCTGCCAGCAGTGGTAGTGGACTCAGATACTTTAGAGACTTTTAAGCAACTCTTGGATAGGCACATGGAAGATAGTAAAATGTAGGGTATGCAGGGTAGATTGATCTTAGTAGGATAATAGGTTAGCACAACATCGTGGGCTGAAGGGCCTGTATTGTGCTGTACTGTTCTATGTTAAAATAATAGTTACATCGTGAAAATCTAAGCTGGAGATTATGTTATGTACAAATCTCTCCTCCTGTTTGCCGAACTATATCAACATATACCTCCTTTCCCTCCTCTCCCAGATATTAACAAAGCACCCGTTGCCTTTAACTGCATTTACTCACCTGGTTCAAAACATTCATCATTATCCCAAGCTTAAGCATTTCACTGGTGCACAAAGTACTTCTTAAGGGGTAATCTTAAAACAAAGTAATTTCTTCTGTAAGAGACTACGTATTTTTCTTTTTTGGAGTAATAACCTGAAAAGGATATTGGGCTGCTATTTACTTAAAATACCAGGAGTGTTTCAGCAAGGACAAGGGAGGGGGTGGGGTGGAAGGAAGGGAAATGAAATTGTAGCGTACATTTGTAGCTGCATAAGCCTGTGCTGCCTTTGGAACAGTGACACAGAAAAGCACAAAGAATCTTTTGAGTTTGATGACAGCCCTGGGAGTAGACATGGGGCTAGGAGCATTTGCTAGTGTGGAAGACAGCGAGGGACCAGGAGGTGGCTGAGCAGGAGGCAGTGAGGAACTGGGAGGAAGCAGTGAGTGAAGGCAGCAATAGACTGGGAGGAGGCAGTGAGGGGCCAGGATGAAACAACGAGCAGGAGGCAGCAAACATGCTTTGAGGGTTGAATGGACAACGGACGTACAACAATGTTGCCAGCTGGTGAATGTCGTGGTTACGGACTTTCTGTTCAGTGTACAAGATACCTGTCACATTATCATTTCATAACTCCAGCAGCAACTTTAAGACTGCTGTAAGTGAAACTGTTCAGACAGTCAGAGGGTTCAGTCAGAAACTGGCACTCACCCCTGATTCAAGTCATTTTCAGTGTTGTCCAGCCAGAGCCGAACTGCAACTGCGTTGCCTTCCCGGCACTGGGTAAAAATGTCATCCATCCTGTTCCTCCTGTCCTCACTGCTCCAACTCTGCTCCCGTTAGACACCAGATGTAGGAGACAACCTGAATACGTTGATCCAAATGAGTCCAGAGAATCCACCGGATCCTTTCCCTAGACAGTCAAAATCCAATGTGACCCACAATCCAATCTGAAAAAAAAAAGTAGGCGGGTTCAATGACAATAACCAGCACTATCCATAACAGGGACCTGGTGTCTCTTGTGTGCTCCTATCACCCACAGGAGGATTACCCATGTAACAAATAAGTTGTTTCTTTCCCCTTCAATCCTGAACTGTACTGATAAGTTCTGGGAAGAAAAAGACCAATGTATTTAGTCCCCGACATCTCCAAACTCTAGTCCCAAGTACCGACATCACCACCCCTGGTATCTGAGGCTGAACCATACTGTCTACAACTGTGCAGTCCCTTCTGAGTCTGAGCTAAGTTTCTGACCTCATGCCCACTCCACCACCGAGAACACCTACTCCCACCTCCTAACATATCTTCATATCCACTTGACAGAGCTGTGGAAATATAAGAGTAACAGACACCACCACCACCCACACACCCACCGCACCCCCTTCCACCCCGCCGACCCCAGTGGAAGCAGTCACCTTTTGATGCCAAATTACACAGGAGATTAATCAAAGTTTCAAAAAAGAAGTCTGGAGGTCTGCTGTGATAATACTCTTGCCGACAAATCACAATGCTAGGGATTCACTTCTCTTCAAGGTGGTGCAGACAGCATCAAATTTGGCAGACCACTCAGTTTAGTAGTAAGTCAGGGCTACACTGCTGCAGGGGTAGTACCATGGCTAAATCATTAAGTGGAGTGTGCATTAGCTCCTTGCAGGTGAATATTAATGATCCCACAGCACTATTTAAAAAGGAGCAGAGTAATATTTATTCTTCAATCAACATCATGGAAGAACATGGCCCAGACAAGCTAAAGAATCTGTCAGTCCAAGCAACCCAACTTTCTTCAACACAGCGCTATTTTTCTTGGTTTAGATTTTTCTTACTGTCCCCTCTTTGAATTTGTGAATAGGACGAGTTAAAAGAAGCTGTTAGGGCTGGCACCTCATTGATGCTGAAATTCCAAATCCCCTGAGCTGTGTGTGCAGCTTGAGATAAAGGTAAATGAATAAAATACAGGTTTAAATGTACCTCAAAAGCGGCCAAGGATACTGGACTGTTGGACAGTTCCTGCTGTGGCAGAGGTTTTTTGCAGCCATACCCAGTAACTAAAACAAAAAAACCTAGGCTTTACATTTATAATTTAAATCAAGAAGACAAGACACGTGGGAGGATGTTGTTGCTAAGAGTTAAGTACGTGTCCTTTATGAGGCGTTACAGAGTCAGATATTGGAGTTCAACACTGTGCTTGGAATACCTCAGTGTCTGATTCTCGATCAGTGTCAAATTCACCAATGTTCGTCAGAGAGAAGTCAGTCTTAGCTCCTGTATCTGAAATGTAATCCGGTTAGTTAGAAAAAAAGCAAGTCGGCTCCTTATGTGCTGACTTGCCACAGCTCTCTGTACAAGACTGAAACCCAGCAGGCAATCAGTATCACAGATACAGAGTGGGGGAGAAAAGGGCCTTTTAAAAAAATTACAACTCCAGACCATGTCTGGTAATCAGACACTGTTCGGCATCCAGCACATGCAGGGAGCAAGGTCCCAAAGGTGCGCTGAAAGGTTTGTTCAGCCTGTGAATTAATCCCATCATCAGGTCTGCCTTAGAAACAACCATTTGATTTTAAAAGGGAGATCGTGATAACGTTTTATTTCTGCACCCTCAGACAGTCAAAACTAAGCAGGGCTCAGAGGAAGAACTGATTGGTAAAAGTTGACTGTCTTTCTTCCCGTCCTCACAAGCCCCAGTTGGTAGGCTTTCAAACTCAAGCTCCACACTGTGTGCTCGCTATCCTCCACTGGTTCTCAAGTCATACAATGTTTTGACTTTAGCATTCTCAAACTTGTTTTCAAATCCTTCCTCAGTCTCACCCCTGTTTATCTCTGTAACCTCCTGTAGCCCCACAGCCCTCTGAAATCACTTCATTTCTCTAACTCTTGACTATCTCAGAGTCCCATCACTCCACCACCTGGAAGCCATACCTTCAGCTCCCAGACCCCAAGCTCTGGAATTGCATCCCTAAACCTCTCACAATTTGCGATTGAGATTTTGGTCGCCTGTTCCTCATTGGGTTTGACGCAACAGCACCAAGAGGGAAACTGGACTGGAGCTGAAGTGAGACTGGAGCCAGAACTTGCATAGGCATGGGTTTGTAACTGACAAGAGGCAGCATTAAAAGGTTTATACACAAATATTATTAATACTAAATAAATAGCATTGAACACAAATTGAAGACGTGAGGCCCCAACATTAATGGGTCACAGAATAAGCAAATGTTTTACAATTGGTGTTGCACTGACTAAGCCTGGGATTTCTCTGGATTAAATTTCCCTCACCATAAACAACAGCATTTTCTATTACCTTTCCCAAATACTTGCTGCACCTGCATACTAACCTTTGGTGATTCATGCACTAAGACAACCAACTCTCTCAGTAACTCAGAGCTTTGCAACATCACACCATTTAGACAAGATATTTCTTTTTATTCTTCTAGCCAAAACAGGCAATTTCACATTTTCTCACATCACATTCCATTTGCCAGATCTTTGCCTATTTGCATATATACTTTTGAAGTCGTGTCCTCTTCATAATGTATTTTCCAACCTATTTTTGTGTCTTCAGTAAATTTAGCAACATAGCTTCCACTCTTCAACCGAATTATTTATATAAACTGTGAACTGTTGAGGTCCCACCACTGATCCACATGACAAACCACTCAATATGTCTTGCAAACCTGAAAAAGACCTATCTATGGCTACATTCTGTTTCCTGTTCATCAGCCAATTTCCTGTGAATGTGAATTAGTTGCCCCCTTGTACCACTAGCTTTTATTTTCTACAATAAACTTTGATATGGTGCCTTATCAAATGCTGTCAGAAAACCGAAGTACTGTACATCCACTAGCTTCTATATACTGATTTCCTTCTTTGAGGTACTCAAATAGATTGGTCAAACAGGATTTCCCTTTGACAACACTACGTGGACCCTGCCCGACAGCTAAAGGAATCAAAGGGTATGGGGAGAAAGTGGGAACAAGGTACCGAATTGGTTGATCAGCCATGATCATACTAAAGGGAGGAGCAGGCTCAAAGGACTGAATGGCCTACTCCTGTTCTTATTTTCTACATTTTTTTGAAAACATTCAATATTTTAACCTCAACTGGTCTCTGTGGCAGAGAATTCCACAGGCTCACCATTCTCTAAGTAAAGATATTTCATCTCAGTACCCTATAACATGAGATAGTAGGAACTGCAGATGCTGGAGAATCTGAGATAACAAGGTGTAGAGTTGGATGAACACAGCAGGCCAAGCAGCATCAGAGGAGCAGGAAGGCTGAAACCTCATTTCTGAAGAAGGGTCTAGGCCCGAAACGTCAGCCTTCCTGCTCGGCCTGCTGTGTTCATCCAGCTCTACACCTTGTTAACCATACAACATGACCCTGGTTCTGGTCATTGGGAACATCTTTCCTGCCTACACCCTGTATACTCCTTTTGGAATTTTAAAAGTTTTTGTGAGATTCTCCAACTCAATCTTCTGAACTTCAGTGAATATCGTGCTAATCAATCCAGTCTTTCTTTATATATCCGTCCTACAATCCCAGGAGTTAGACTGGTAAACCTTTGTTGTACTCCATCCATGCTAGAACATCTTTCCTCAAGTAAGGAGACCAAACCTGCACACAAAATTCCAGGTGTAGCCTCACCAAGGCCCTGTACAATTGCAGCAAGACATCCCTGCTCCTGTATTCAAATCCTCTTGCTATGAACGCCAATATACCATTTACCTTCTTCACCACCTGCTGAACCTGCATCCTTACTTTTCAACAAATGGTGTAAAAGGACAGTTGGGTCTCATTGAACCTCTCCCTTTTTCAATCTATTGCCATTCATATAATAGTCGGACTACCTGCTTTTGCTACCAAAGCGGATAACTTCAAATTTATCCACGTTATGCTGCATTTGCCACACATTTGTCCACTCTCTCATCCTGTCTAAATCACACTGAAGCATCTTTGCATCCCCCTCACAGCTCACCCTCCAAATTCAGCTTTGCGTTGGCTGCAAACCTGTCGACATCATACTTACGTCCTTTATCTGAATTGTTAACATAAATTGTAAATAGCTGATGTCCCAGCACCAATCTCTACAGTACCCCACTAGCCACAGTTTGCCATTTGGAAAAAGACACATTTATTCCCACTCTTGGTTTCCTCTCCGCCAAGTAGTTCTCTATCCATGTCAGTTCACAACTCTCAATCCCATGTGCTTTGATTTTACATGATTGAAGAATAAACCAACAGATGAGACTAGAGATTAAAAATAACAAAAGAACACAACTAAAGGTTTTGAAGGCACTATGTATTCGAAAGAACAGATGAATTAACAATACCAAAGGAAACAGTCCAAACCTCTGGAACCAGACAGGCAATGCAACCAACTCGACTCATGCTCTTCGCTGCAGAGAAAAGTATTAACTCCCCTCCCTGTGAGCACAAAATCTAAGCTGACCATCAGTGCATAATGAAACTCCTATTCAATCTGCTTTCACCAGTATTTCAGGTATATATTCACGATCACAGCAACTCACTGTTGTAAAAAGTAACTCATGTCATTTTTAATTCCTCTCTGGCCACAGTGGGGGAGGGGAGGGGGGGGATGCCTGGAGGATGGAGAATATGGATCCTCTTTACAAAAGGTCACAAAAAGTGCGGTACAGATAAACCAGGGAATTACAGACCAGTCACTCCCACATCAGTGGTAGGGAAAGCTATTGGAGAAAACTCTGAAGGAGAGAATTAATCTCCGCTCGGAGAACCAAGGCTTAATCGGGGTAGTCAGCATGGCTTTGTCATTGGGAGCTTATCCCGAACAAGTCTGGTTGAATCTTTTGAACAGGTGACCGGGTGTGAAAATGAGAGGAATGCAACTGTTGCAGATAATCAGGATATCAGCAATGTGATCAACAACGTCCCTTGGATAAGCACCCAAAATGTTTATAACATTGAAAA